AAAAAAATTGATAGACTTTTAATTTCTCAACATTTTGTGTCAAGACGATTTATTTCAAATTTCTCCATTTGTTAATTAGCCAAATACAAGCAAATTTCTAGTTTAATTTATTTAATTGAAAAATTACATTCCCTAACGAAATATAAAACATTGTTTTATTTATGTAATTTTTGTTGTTGTTGTAGAAAATACAGTTATTTCATTTAAATTAAACATTTCCACATGAATTTGTCCATGTTGAATAAAATTGCTTTGCTTCGTTGTATGCATCATATCTTACTTTTCTGCATATTTAACGAAAAGCAGACTTATAACTGGATCATCATCAGAACATTTTGAACTAGAAACAGAACAAATTTAAAAGTTTATAATTTATTTTACAAAATATGTTTAGACTAAATAGCATATTCAATAAATTGAATTGAATTGTTAGCCGTCGAATGTGACTGTGCGGTGCGCGCTACTTATAAGTAGTATATGACGCTAGTGTAAACGTAATGTCTGGCAGCAGAAGATGGGGGAAGATCAAGAAAGGAAGAGTGGGAGGAACACAATGGAATTTGTATGAAACGCATGAATAGTGGTGAAATGTCAGACAATGGATTGATGATGGATTGAAGATTTGCAAATTAACCGTTTACGATATGGTTTCCCTATTTTACTGAGTAACTCTGTAATTTTCATGAAATACAATTCGGTTGCCCTCACCTGTGTTCTCCTTCACTACAACTGTACTAAAAAATCAACTCATACTTAGAGAAGACTTTTAATTCGAAAATGTTATTTGCATGCACAAAATGGGATGTTTGAATTAATCTGTTTTAATTTCTATGTAGTCATTTTAATTTATGCATTAAGAGACATATCTGTATATATATTTGAATAGTTGAATTATGCGTGTAGGTAGTCAGAACTATTTCAGCAAATTTGTAATTGATATTATTTCACGTACCTGTGGAACGACGTTTCAACTAGTGACAGCTAAACGCCTCTGATATTAAGTATCGCCTGAGTTTTAATCTGTTCCGTTTGTTAAATGCTATTTCAGGGCAGTATTTGATAGTGTATTTGATGAGTAAAAGTTATGTGAATGTAAATTAGATAATCAGATCTGAAATTTACGCTAAAACTAATTTAATCTAATTCTAGTCACTTTTAATTTACTAGAATAATTATTTCAGTAGGCTTGTATAAGTTTATTGTCTATGTAACATGAAGTATGGTGAGTATTTCATGTGAGAAATAATAAAAATATACAAATTGAATTTAGTTCTATTTTTCGCCGTTTTAGAAAAAAATAATCTCTTAATAGACGCTTAGCACTTTCTAAGAGAACATTCTTTCACAGGCATACAATCAGAGCTGCTATAAATAAACTTGACAAATAATTTTCTTCTTTTATTATCATCGAATTCAATACAGCAGTATTTTGTTTGAATCAGTTTTAAAATTATGAATTGATACTGGCCAAGAGAATCATTGACAGACAATTAGCCAGTTTTGAGTAAGTTTTCAATCTCAACACTATTTTCATTAGGGATAAAAAAAAATTCATCAACATATCTTGAAGTGAGCTCTTTAGTAATTTTAGTTGTTCATTTGAACTCTGATCAATCTCATGTTATAACTACAGTTAATTAACAAAAATATGATCCATATTCAACACTACTAATGTTGAGTATCCATATATATCTGGTGATATTATAGTCTCGGAGTTCAAGTAAATCTGATACGTGTATTCTATGAAAATAGTAAGAGAAATCTTTTACTCCAAATAATGTGAAATGTAAACTGAAAAACTTGATTTTAATAGTCAAAGATTGAATGCATATTTGAAGGTATTTTAAGGTGCGTTTTTTTTTCATCAATATCATCATATTATTAAAAAGTTATGTACGATTTTACAGTTCTGAGAACTGGTTATCAAACAGTACACACACTGTTGAATTGCTCAGATATAATTTGCTATCCAAGCTTATTAATCAGTTAATGTCATGTTTGTTGCTGAACTTAAAGTAGACGAGGCTTGAAAACCACATAGAATTTTAATCTACGTGTCCAAAAATAACGATAACTAGCTGAATACTAGTGTGCTAATTAGATTACTAACAAAAGATAAGTTATGTAGAGCAAATACTTAAAACCTATCTATCACCTGGCTCTATATATATAACATTTGTTTATATTTAGATTAGTTGACTGCTTTTTGACTGAAAGTAGATAGTGATCTTATTGTGACAAATCATATAACAACTAATGAATCAGTGAACAAATGAATATTGAACGGCAAATACTCAAATAATACAGATGTTATATTATAATAATAATCCTTGTCAACAATATGATTTAATTATCAAAATAATCAATAGTTTGTATCGAAAATATCATAAAATAAATAGATGGACTGTACAGCCTAACCCCTATAAAACACACACCCACATATCGAACTACATTAATACACACAAATAGGTAAGCATTGATTCTGCTTGTAATAATTAAACACTGTTGAATGAAATGTGGAAAAGGAAACTGTATCGTGTGTTCGGACATTGAGGTGAAATCTGAACTTAGATCTTCTTAGTTTATATTCCTGCTATGGCTGTTAATATCACATTGTGCTAAAAAGCACGCACAATTTTCAAAACAAATAAATCTCCTAAAGGTAATCTTTGTAAATAAAAATAAATTGTCACACCAGAATAGTTATTCTCGTAGAACATTCCTTTTGTTTCCAAAAAAAGGTTCTGAATAAATTTCTGTCAAATAAACAAACAATGTAACAGACATTTCAAATTGCCTTCTTTAAATCTAAACAAAAACAACACTATTTGTGAAAAATACATTTGTAGGATAATTTGAAACAGTAGGTAACCTGTATTCTAGTTAAAGAAAGTATGTTTTGTCTGTTCCTTACTGTATATTCTGTTATGCATACATAGATTATCATATTGTCATTCTTTTCAAAATGCACTTCTCATTTAAATTTATATTTTCATATAAATTAAATCATTTGGCATATTATGTCAAAGTTAAAAAAACCGTAATGAAACCTAAGAGTAAACACGAGCTGTTTTCTAATTTGTTCTCTTCTGTTTAGAAGTAACATGCTGCCTAACTAAGGTTTAAATGATTTGCTTGCAAAGTTATATGACAGTTAGTATACTAGAAATTGAAATGTGTTAGTAAACTAATTTCTTTCTGATAAGTGAAGTGATCTCAATTCTCATTAATGACTAATATAACTCATAGAAAAATATCTCATCTATTAGTTAATATGATTAACTACTGATCAACTGGAATAACAGAATAATTGATTTGCATAGTGAAAATATCACCCACAACAACAACAACAACAAAATCACTTCTATTCATATAATGAGTTAAATGACTCGATTGGAACACTATAATGATACTGTATAAGCTAGTTTATCACAACCTTTTTTGAGAAATAAATATCAACTAATTCAATTAGATCAGTTAAAAATATTTCTCTTCATTACATTATACACTGAAATTGTAGACTACTTTGTTTCATGTTTGAATTAATAAAAAGGAAGGCATAAGTTAATTGTTTGTTCTAACTATAGTGATTTCTACTTTGGAAAATTAGCATCTTAGTTTTCTGCAAACGTGCATTAGCGATTAAAACTAAGCACTCTTTTTTTTCGTCATCAAAGAGGTATAAAATTTGTGAATGCGATTATGTGTCAATTTTGTTAAACAGATCTGTTGATATATTATTTTCAAGAATATCAATGCGATAAAATCAAATCCATACCTTTGAACACGGACGAACAACGTTGTCTTTAGAAAGTCACATCATTACTCTTTATCAGTTGGTACTGATAAGTGGATTGAGTCATGTTGATAGGTGTAGGCTACGTGGTTGGGGTTTGCGAGACGATAGTCAACAGTGGTTAGAGACCTTGAACGACATGGCTCAAAATCGTTTGCAATGGCGCAGGTGCATCCACTCTTTGTGTTCTATGAAATTCTCAGCTTCTGCATTCCTCATAATCTCTACCTTTCTCCTTTTAAATTTATCTTACTGAATTATACCTCTCGAATCAAATCTTCGCTTCCTAATCTTCTCCATTACTGCTAACACTTCTATTATTGCTATCACTATTGGATTTGAACTGACAATTGCGTCTCTGTGCTGATGGGGCATGGCAACCTGAACTGATGTACTTACGTACGAAGTTCTGTGTTGTATCTCTCTCTCTCTCTCTGTCTATCAATTGGTACTGTGCTTTCAACTCTCAAATTATACAAATCAAGCTAACAGCAAAGTTAACACCGAATAAAAGTTCTTCAACTTGCATTGTATAGATTCTGTTTATATATATATATATATATATATATATATATATATATATATATTTCAATTAACAAACACAGCTTACAATAATCATCTTAAACATATACCAAGATGTTAGCTTTTCAATTTATTGGTATCATGAAAGTAATAGAGATTATTATCATTTTTTTGCTGTTTTACATTTAGTGGACTCATTACAAGCAAAGTTCTTTTTTCTTCATGGTGAATAATCCAAATAACTACTTTACATATCTATCTGTCATATTATATTATTTGTCTATAATATATTACGTGGGAAATAATTCCTATTTAAAATTTTCTTTTATTTTTTTTCTCTTTCTTTCTCTCTCTCAAAAATATCTTCTGCATACATGATGATAATAATAATAATAATAATAATTATTATTATTATTTTCCCTAACCAAAAGTTTTCTCATAAAATCAGGGGAAAAAAAAATTTCAACAAAATCATAATAAATAAGAATTACATTTCATTTGAGATAAGCAAATAAAATAAATGCTCACTGAAAATTAGCCAATTGTATTTGAACATTTTACTAATGAATGAATGAGAAAGAAAGAAATGTAAATTTCACAAAGTCAAATGAAGCATAAAATGTGTGTGAATATATATATATATATATATATATATATATATATATATATATATATATATATTGTTTGAAACAATATAAAGCAGTCATTCTTCCGTGTGTACACTGATTATTGTGTGAAGCTGTTTATTAAAGGCAGTCAATCGAGAACATGAAAATAATCACACTTTTGTTTTTGATGCTGTTCACATTATCAAATATTTATGAATCAGCTAATGCATTGCAAATGTAAGTTACTGTTTTTTTGCAGAACTCTCTGTATTGTATGACTTGAATTGATGAATGAACTATCCTACTTGTTCAAACTGTTTGTTGATAATAACGATCAGAGATCGGAGAAAAATGTGTTCATATATTCCTATCAGTATAGTTATTTAAAGAGATCTAGTTCTTAGGTGGAACTGCTCTCTAATATATTCATTTCGCCGATGCGAAACTTAATTTGGTCATAATGAATTGATTAAAGATAAATTTTATTTTTGTTTTAATATTAAATATGGTGGTTTCGCACTGTCGAAAAGATCACAAAATAAACATTTAACATTACTACCTGGTTTAATGATTATTTCCGCATAACTGACACATGTTACTGATGAAATAGTTTTATTATGTTTCATTACGTTACTTTGAGACAATGTATTTTCGTGACGACCTCATCAAAACAGAACTAATCTGAAATAATTTAAATCATTTAGAACTAACAGTCAGGATTTTCGGTACTAATGGTCACTAGTAAATTAGGAATATGGACTTAAATAGTTTTGCGGCGATGTCTTAACACTTTTTTCTAAAGAAACCATTTAAAGATATCTAAGCGTTTGTGGTTTATGTTAGTTATTGCTAGGAAAATAATCAATGTGTCACTTCAATTTATCAGTTCCTAGAAATAAATCTTAATAGATATTTTATGACCTGAATGTTTTAAAAGTGAACTAATTCATTTTGACCCTGAATAGTTAGTACTTACATTAAACAGAGGCTAGTACAATGACAAGATGGTCTATGATTAAACTTCCACAATGGATGCCACCTTATTCAGGTCATGAAAAATTGTTATCAGTGAAAATATAATAGTTCATAATGGTAAATAAAAATATTCAGTTAAAATAAGTGTATTCATCATTCCATTCCATATTACACATATAGATTCTTCTTAGGTTACATTTTTTAAATAAAAGTTTTCAAACAGCAAATAGCAAAGTGACTTTTCGACAAAAATGATTTTTCAATTGAAAAAAATTAAAATAATTTGAGATGATTCAGTGTTGTAAACATTTGCATAATAAAGTGCATTGTCGACTGTTTTATTCACCTTCTCTTCACAAGTTTTTAAGGACCTTTGATTCTTTATTCTACTATATACTATTTAAGGGAGAAGAAGATATAATTGAGCTTGAGTACTACAGTATTTAATAGGTATAATTTTACAAGTGTTTTATTAGAAAATGTGAGTAAAAAATGCAGTTGATCGACATTAGTAGTAAATGTAAGCAAATTAGATATTAAAAATGATACTTAAGCTTTTTGAACAGTTTAAAAAAAATGGTCTAGAGATATTTGACAGAGTACCTACCATAACATTAATAATTTCAAATCAAAGGAAAAACGTCAAGTCAATAGAAATTTTAACAATGCTTAGTGTATAAATATAATTCAACATTCAGTTAGTATTGAAAAAGTAAAATGTCATTTCCTTACTTTAGTCGAAGCGTTATTTTTTTTAAAAATGGGTCTACTAACAGAAGAGATTTCAAACAAGATTTCTAGCTTTCAAGGTATTTCAAGAATAGATGTGAATTTTGTATGTCCATTAAAGCAGTTAAAAACCATTTCATTGAAATTGATACTTGGTATGACACTCCGGGTTTTGCGTGAAACTGTTCACAGTGCTTAATTTTAATCAACTATCACTGATTATTTAATAAACGTTTTGTCAGTAATATTTAAAGTCATCATTCTCATTTTCGAACACAGCCTAAAAGGCCTAAGACTAAAGTATACTTGAATTCATAATCTTACTTCATTCACTCGATTTTCGGTAAGTTAACACATAACAATTATTCGAAGTAGTCAGATTGAAATTTTATCGCGTTCTTCAAAACCATAAACACCAATATGTTTAAGCTCATCTTTCATAGTCAAGTTGGCATTACTAGAAAAATATTCTGCTCGTACACTTGTTGGGTTTCTGTTCTCTTTTTCATTCGACCCCATTCATTGATTTTGATTAATGTTCAAACTTATAAACATTTATAATAAACGCTTTTGACACTTTTATTTCTGATGTTCATTTTAAATCTATATCACTCACTTCTCATCCATCACTACCATTCGGTAAGTATGCCACGTATTTCTAAATAAATAATATTAACTTTTAATGCAAGTGATTAGCTGTGATACAACTGTTGTTCTGCTTACCATTACATAAACTGTGAGAGAAGAACAATCAAAGTATTCTAGTCTCTTAAAATTAATGTCAATAAATATTTTTATCGAGGTTTTTTTTCAAAGATACAGTGTATGAAAAGAATAGTTTACCTTCTGTGGACTTAAATATTGAAGTGTAGTACCAACAATCAATCTCATAAAGTAATTTTAAAAGATTCCGATCTTATTACTAAAATTATCTACAACATTACTGCATCCAATGCAAACTACACAGGATGCACTTATGAAAATTAATGACTAATCAAAATTTAGTTCAAATATCAAGGTGATTTTATTTACTCCTTGAATTCAATTATTTATTAATTATTTGTTTATTCATTATAATTGATCGGTAATATCGACACTTTAATTATTAGACTTACATAAATTTCAAACTTCACCTAAATTACATCATTGTATTCTAACATATAATGCAAGAATGAATGAATGAATACATACTCATCAGGATAAATACATTATTGTATAGATAAAAAAGTAAAGATTTCTACTACTATTTATTGTAATATCTGAAAACTAAATTCCAGTCGCTGTAACTAACTGGACAGTGAAAATTTATGAAGAGCCTGAAATCTGCATAGAAATCATGCATTGTTTAAATAATCTGTCTAAATACGTCTATTATATGACTGCTTTTAAGTAGTTTACAATAAGTCAAAGTATATATCAATCATTTGAAGCAATGAGTTGTTCAGTTCAAATAAAATGTAATAAAACTCTGAACAACCAGTGTGTTGTGCGAATTCGCATATTTGGCTAACTGTGAAAAAAACCGATTAATAAAATGATGATAGATTAGTTTCGTACAACATAATAATATCTGCAGAGTTTCGTCCTATTTTGGAATCATCAGTTAGATGTATCTGCATCTTAAATTCAATGTTTACTCCGGGACTCAAACGGGAAGATTCCAACAACCAAAACGAATTAATTATTATTATTATTATCACCATTATTATTATCCGTTTAAAACATTAGTTAAGTGTAAATTTAGAGAACAAAATAATTTTTCTGAAAGAATATTCTTCTTGGTAAACGTAAATAAATCCAAACCAAGTTGTAAAAAATCGTATAGCGGTACAGTACTCAAAAAATGGTTCCAACTTATTGCTTGACGATGAATAATTTACATTGAAAACTGTATTATTTAACGTTAATCATTTTAACATATTCCAAAAACCTTCACTGCTATCTAGTTCTCACATCACTAATTATATTCGATTCTATCTATTTGTAGTTGATAAAACCTTTGTAATGAAATACTTCTTGTTCATTATTCTAAAAACTCCTCTACAACTGTAAAATTTAAAAAGCTCATATTTTTTTAATGAATCCTATATACATTAGAAGTACATCTTATGAACAAGGATAGCTACTACATATTTTTAGTCAAATATTTGTTACGACTGTCATAACAGTTACACATTTTTTTAGAAACGGCTAACGGTTTATATTATATGATAAAGTACCAAAGTTAAAAATAGTGGGTTATGTTCAAATGATAAAAAAATTCAGGTTATTGAACATTTTATATGGTTTGATGTACCCGGTTTAAGTTAACTGTCACACACTGAGCACTTCAATATCACAAGAAAAAAAATACTTCATCAACATAGAGCCTCACACAGATGTACATTGATTCAAGCTACCATGCTTTGTTAATATGAGGCGATGAATAGAAAAAGTTACTGAAATAGGTTTTTTGGCAATGACAGTAGTAAGAAGAACAAGAGATTAGAAATATGGTTTAAAAAGATTCAATGGATAGGTTTGTATGGTGGAATAATGAAATTGAAGATCGAGAAGAATAAAAAAAAAGTGAAAACTTCTACGATACTATGAATGATCCCAGTACCCAGAGCCTTCGACAAGTAATTATTATTACGTGAACCTCATCCAAGTAGTTTGTGTCTAGAGATTTTGTGGTCACTCCAATCTCTCTTCTAATCAACTTCTCTATACCAGAAAATATCTATCCACAGAAATTGACAAGTTTAAATTGTGATTACTGTCAATATATCATGGCTGGCTTATTTAATTCAACTATAAATCAATTTTCTGACATGTTCAAGTTTCTTACCTAGTTCAATCAAGATTATTCAGTATTTGTATGTTATATTAGTCTAATGTAAGTTTGAAAAAGTATTATTATCTCACAATTGCGAAATTCCAATTACATGATTTGTAGTTTACACCACATGGGAGGAAAAACTATCAAAAATAATTGATGTGAGTAATTAACAACGAGAATATCTAGTGTAGAATTTATTTATTAAAAGACTTAATTTGATAAATACATGAAATATTGAAAGAAAGCACGAACAGAGAAAGTAGATATTTCTTTCTAATCAGGCTTTTATCTTAACTTCACATTCTAATGTGCATGATTTATGGTTGTTAAGAGAAAAAAAATAATGGAATACCACCATTCAACTGATGAAAAGCTCAACAATAATAAAAAAAACACACACCACAGATTCTTGAAATAAAATTTCCATCAAATTCAGGTGAGTATGTATGTCTGTAGTTTTCTGTGTTAATCCTAATCTAACTTAAACTTGAAAAACTTTAAAAAATGGCTGTTAAAATCGGCGTTGTATCAAAAGCTTCAAAGCAAAAAAACGGCAAATCTAATGCTGCCCTTCATCACATTTTTTAGTCTTGAAAAATTTATATCTAAATTAGTCGACTGTTGATGCAATAATTATTACTAAGATAGTAGGCCTAATTAGAAAGATATTATACTGAAGAAGTACAAAGAAGTTTTGTGGAAATTTAAAGCAAGCGACAATTTGTCAATTGAAAAGTTCGATCATAGGTTACAGTGTAGTTCTAGATGAAGGCGCTCAACTACACGATAGAAGTGGTGGACCAAGAAGTGATAAATAACAAAACTACACTCAGAAACCTATTCTTTGCACATGAAGGAAGTTTATCTAGTGTTCCATGGTCACTGATGAAGGTTGTAACATAATGTAAAAGGTGTATGACTCGCACTGATTCCTTGAAAGCATTCATTAACTTCGTTCACTTTCGTGTTCTTAAGCAACCTTGATATTTGTCTTTTTACCCTGAAGTAAAGATTACTAAGTTGATTGTTTATCAAAATGTTTAGCCCGGTGAATTACATGCTTTCAAGCTTTACAAATAATTAGTTTGATAACAGCAATTCTCTTTCGTTTAAGATTCTGTGAACTATCACTAATGAAACAATAATATTCACATGATTGTAAAATATTCCATTTGTCTTCTTGTTCTTCTTTCTTCTAAATCATTCATTAATGTTATCAAACATTTGAATATTCCCATCTTAATACAAAAAGTGAGGAGTATTTTGGGGATTAACCAATGAATGAATTGGTGAACCAGTGAATCAGTGGAGTAAAAAATCAAACTAAAAAGGATAAATCTTTAGGCGTTTCAGAATAAGTTAAAATTTAAAACGCACTTAAATTAATAAGTATTCAATTGAAATACACGGTACTGAAATGAGTATCACCGACATTTTAAATTTCAATATTGGAAATTTTCAGATTTTTTTTGGCTTTCTAGTTCAAACTTGTAATCCTCATCTGAAATGTAACTTTTATAAACCATGAATGTAATCTCATCTGTATAACTGATTTTCCCTATCGAAAATATCTATTTTATTCATTGAAACGGAGTAAATTATCATTACTCTTAAAATTTATAAAGTCTATGAACTGACCTTCGGATTCATACCGCTGGCACACACAAAAGGGATATTACTTCGAAGCTAATTTTCATTACATCACAGACTGACTTCAGATGAAGAACCAATAAAAATCAAATACTAACTCAAATATGATATCTTGAAATGAGGTGACAATGTAAACCATAAGAATCTGACTTATTGAGCTGCAGCTATCATACTCATTACGACATCATCAGAATATAAGTTTTGATCATGTGTACAGTTTTAGGCGATCATTCTATAGTTTAAAACAATTATTTGGTGTTTTAAGGCTCAACTATCTCAATTTAAAAATTATTTTGTACATTTAACTGTGTCATTTCAAACTGGTTATTGAATAAATATCAACAACATTTGTTGATTGACAAGATGCTTTTTCTACTTTTTTTTCGAAAATTTAAAAATCAATCGTTTTTGAATTAATCCGAAATAAACTTAGCTAGTTTACTAACAATTCCTCTAATTCTTATCTCTTTCGTTTATTTACTCGCTGGATCATCATACTGATGTATTCTCTTCATTTCTGTAACAGAACTTAAACAGTCTACTTTTTAAAAGTCAAAATTTTTAAATTCAGCAAATCCATGAAAATTGTTAATCACACAAATTTTCCTCTTTTCATTTTGCCGTATGTTAAGTAGATTTCATTGTAAAAACTACTTAATCATTGCTCTGCATTTATTTCAAATTGCTTTAACTACATTTCTTTACGTAAACAATGCTCAATTCGGTAAATACACACATAATTACTGAAATCATCATGACTGAAATGTGATTGATTTCTCTTATTTATTTATTTATTTATTCATACTATCTTTATTGTCAGGTATCTCCATGAAAGTCAGTGTATTTCTGATTTACAACAGCTAATGGTAAGTTATTGTTGCTAGTTTTTTATTCACCATTGACAAATATGATAATATGAGTCAGGAATTTGATGTAGTGAAATAATTGTTGGAAAATTTAAATCAGTAATCAGAAGAGTTTTCAGCTATACGCTTTCGACTGTTATCAGACAATAAATAAAAATATATTTATCTATATTACTAGCGATAAAAATCATGCAGATAGTGATTATGTGAATAATAATGGTGTGGATTTATTGTAAAACTTTCTATTAAGTAATTTATTTTACCGGATACGGTAGACTTCGATAAATAGTGTACAAACATAGTTTGAATATGTAAATATATATCAATAAGCTTTATATACAGGTAAAGACATACCAAACTACTAAACTAGGTATGTTGTTTGACCTTGTTTGAATTAAAGAGCACTGTAAAATTATTAACCAGAACGAAACTGTCACTTTAACACAAACACTAAACCATCATGTTCAGCATGATATTCTTAGGGTGACTGATAAATGCACACTTCTGAAAAAGTCTTATAACTTCTAATATAATACATGTTTAGTGTAAGTTTGGCTGTAATGCAAACTGTCTATGCAACTGAAGCGCCCTTTCCCAAATCATTTCACATTACTTGTGTTAGATCTGGTTGATTTTAAGCGTAAATAGACAACTTGACAGATTGCTTTATTTTTATGAGCAAGATTATTTAGTTTATGAATTATTTTTCAAATTACATAAAATTATTAATGTTCCTATTTATTGTCATCTACCTGGAAGGATGAATGTGGAGATGAATATTTTTCGAAATTCTATGCAAGAGAACGTTACAAAAGACGTGATAGATTTCGAGGTTGAATAGAAGACATTTGATTTTGAAGAAATGCATAGTTACAATGATAATTCTGGATAATACAATTCCTTCTCAAATTTTACTAGATATTACAACATAGTACAATTTGTGAATATATGTTGTTACATTAATTGAAAGAATATACATGACATGTTTGATTTCAACTTTGTCTTTTGAACCTTTCTCAACAATTAGACTAATGAGTAAGTATATTGTTAAAATTCTAATAGACTGATTCATTATTCAATAATATCTTAGTTGTACAGCTTTCTATAATAATTACACTAAAATACCATATTAATTGAGAGTGGCTACCATAGTCGCTTCACGACACAAATGAGAATGTGATTACTGGTTGTCAAAGGGGAATTATTTCACCCGACAAAACACATTAACCATTTTTAGACAATGCACACATTGTTATACTGATTTTACAAGTTTAATAATTAGTTAACGAATATCACATACACAGTAGATAAATAATAATTACTGGTCATTGTGAACAAAATTTGCATGAAATTAATACAATGCATAAACATTACCACGAAATAAAATAAGTATTATACAAAACAAAGTATCACAGTGAAACTCAACTTTTAGTATCTTGTACATTTTTATCCCGTCAATTTAAACTAATACTAATTTTGAACAAAAATCTCACTAAATTCAAGCAGTTAGTTGAATCCTCCTTGCTCATTTTATCCCTTACTAATAATAACTATAGTTAGACTTATTTCAGAAAATAACTGATTAATTTGTTTTATATGCGTTAGTTAAGTTTCTCAAACCTACGCCACTTTTATTTGTAAAGTAGGACATCTATTTTTGGTGACTTTCAAATCAGATACCACAGAAATGAAATCTATGAACTTAGGATTCTTCGTACCTCAATAATCGTAAACTCGCTTAGTCAGGTACCAACAATAAATGACACAGTTTAATTTATAGGAAAAGATATTCCACAAAAAAAAGAAATAAGAAACTGAAGTTATAACATTCACTAAAATGAGAGATCTTAACTAGCCGTACTTGTGAAATTCAGAAAAATTTAAATATATGCATGCACGCATCGATTTGTATCGATTGAGTCATACTAATAAGTGTTAAATGACAGATTACATTTGTTGATGAATTAAAACAGAAAGTTTGTATCTATCTACAGTAGTCCTCAAGCAATCAGTCGATTGATTTAGAGACTGATAAAATGATACACTCTGCCAGTCCTTGCCGTTCTTACAAATTAGTCTTAAGATAGAGATTCAGAAAAGCAGCAGATTTATATGTGCATTATATGTATCCCAATCCACTTAGAAAATCAACAACTCCGGATACTGGTTGAACTACCTTTGTTTTCTATTCTTGTAGGCAAGAGTTCACAGTCATCAGTTAAACGTAATGTTTATTCGATAGACAGATAGATGTGTTATTCACATTGCAGATGTTTCAAGCTAGCAGAATTGGAACTAATACTTTATATTCCTACCAATAGTTCATACGCCAAAAACCTCACTACTGCTGATAATGGAATGGAAATCTTGGCGATCTTAACCAATTTATTGCCTCCTATCAAACTGAACAGTAACTTGGAACAATCTATGAGCATCATTACGTTCATGTAATAATTCTCGATACATTATATTGTGTCAACGCCATTACAGGCTGTAACTAAGTGATGTGCGTACATCTAAAAGTTTACCAGTAGAGGATCAGTTACTAAAACGTCACATAGCAACTTTACAAACTTTCCTTTTGGTAACTTCCATTTATTTATTTAACAAAACTGAATGACTGACTAGTGTAACTACCTATTGCACCTTCAAATTCGATTTCTCACTCCTACAGTTCCGTCATTATACCAGTCAGTATGTAAGTCTTTAGAGCTTTTGCTGCTCAAAAACTTTTTCGTTCATCGGTATGAACTTGCAAACAGCCGTTCTTTTGAATAAGCTCATTGAAATCCACTTTCCAACGTTTATGTTGAAAGTTGCCACCAATGATAGATGCTATAATAACAGTAAAATGTCTTGCATTAAAATGATTAACAGCTGACAGATCAAATGTATTTCAACCCCTTCCGGTCTTCGTTTTAAGTTACAACTTGAATGCGAGACTTCATTTGTCACCGTTGAAGTTTTAATAATTGAAAATACAAATTATGAAGTATTTCGATGATATCCATGTTTATTTTTATTAAACTACATCTCCTTCTTCGATCTTATCATAAGGCTGTGTAATTTAATCGTCTAAAAGTTTCCAACTTTCGATGGTTCAACTAATTATAAGTTATAGTTTTTTTTAAATATTGACAAAACTAATCACAGTGAAGCACGCAATTTATTCTTAAACTAAATGGTAATATGAACTTACAATCTTGTTTTTTATTCTAACACTACTCACTTAAACGAAATGAAATAACTTATGTGCATTAAAATGTAATCAAACAGCTATGTTGAACATCAAGAAACATCTGCATTTTCAAGCCTAGAAACATTTCTAAGGATAGTATGGTAATAGGGTTATGCATTTAAACTGATGAAAAGTTTTTGAACAGATAAAATTTTGCATATGGAAGCATAGAGATGCATTCTTTCTCTTGTTAATACTCCTAATCACACATAATAACACACGTCATTTACTGCTTTTCATCGCAGATCAACAGTACTTTAGAAATCATTCCAAAAAAATTGAAAACGTCCAGTTACTCTATCAAAACATTAATCGTTTGGTTTAAGTAACCATTCAATGACTTGGCTGAAATTTTTTTTAACAAAACGAATGAGCTTTCTGTACTATTATACAGTAGCCTGAAGAGAATGTCCAGCTATTCGTGTGTTACAACATATCCTAATTTTTAAAATATTTCTGTTCGTATTCTGCTATTCAATTATTGTGCTAAATGGTAAATTAAGATATGGCGTTTTACTGTTCGAATCTCTTCAAGTGAATCTGGTGTATGTAAACATGCTGTTAATAGACCGGCTGATATTTTCTAGTACATGAATCCTGATGATAGTGTCAATGTAGTTCACATGATATATACTTTTAAAATTTCAACTCAATCAGATTTAAAACACTGACTTCTAACTCCTACAATGTAGTTCACTGGATTAGAAGCATTGTAGTCGATGTTTCTTTGATATAATTTATCTGAATAGCGACGAACATGAATATAAGCCTTAATAATGTCCTATTCATACTTACACCCAGTTTGTAATGTGCCATGATCTAAGATTCTCGACAATTATTTTTATCTAGACGCGAACTCTATTCAAATTTCAACACATTGCTTTCATCATATAATGTCAATTTCATATCCAACTATCAATAGTTATATGTTTGACCATTCTGTTTTTATGGTTGTTAAATAATGATGAAAATATCGTTTTGGATTGATTGACTGATTGGTTGAGTTGTATTAAATCTTTATTGTCTGTTTCTAATTTCTGCACTGAAAGTTATACTGTTATTAATAAGCCTTTATTATTACATATCACTATAATACTTGAATACTTGCATTGAAATGTATGCATATCATCTAGCCATCCATGCCAATATTTATTTTTCGTGTACACTTTATTTCACTTCTTGAAAAACGATCATTTATTTTTTCTTATTTTATAAAACAGCCTTCATGAATTCAATCAAAACCTTTTTTTCTGCAGTTTATCACCAGACTGAAGATACATTTTACAGTGCAACAAGATCTTCTAAATTAAACCAATCAAATGTAATGCATTTTCTACTTATCCATGCAGTGTTTTGTAGAGATGTATACCGTTCATTTTAATTTCTATGCATTCCGAGAATTAAACACATATGAAACATTGAACTTCTCCAGTGACCTTGAAATAAACCAATGAATAGCATCAGTTTCAATAATTTCGGTCATTAGTTCCGACAAACGGGTTTTAATCGTTCTTTATGAGTGATGCCGCTTTTATTCATTTTAAAGTTTTAGCTTTTGAGTAGAGCTTGAATTTGAAAAAAAAAACTTTATTTTACGTTTTTTCTATCTAATGGTTGAAAGCGATTTTCAAGAATCTCCGAACATTTCATCAGTCTACATTTTTCGATATAGAGGCTTTCAAGAATTGAAAGTTGATCGACAACATATTCAAAAAACTACTTACTTCTGCGTAAATAAATAGCTCTGCATTAAAATGCCACAGTAAAACAGACTGATCTACTGTAAATCAAAGTATTTGAAAAAAAAAAATGGAAATGAATTGATTGTGCACAATAAACACTAAAGTGAACAAGGCAAACTAGATAAGTGTTTAGTTTCAGTACAATAACGGTTGAACTATCACTATCAATTTTTCAAACAAATATATATGTAAATCATGAAATATATCCGATAAAATTTTCTGACAAAATAACTAAACAGTCTGAGACCTCTGAAATCCAATATTATGAAAGTCATTTGCGTATTCATTTTCACTAGATAGCTTTTGTGAAAGGAAACTGTAGGTAAACTAAACTTTCAGACGGATTTCAGTTAAAAACTAAGTCTCCGAAAATAAAAACATCAAGGCAATGTACTGTTAAATTGAGATTCAAAAGCGGAAATAATCAGAGCATTTAGATAGAAAAAACAGGAGTGATTTAAGGTAATATGAGTCGATTGGTGTTGCAACCTTTTAAATCTGAACAAAAATTAATTCCCTGCTGATGATATTTATGAACTGAAGAAAAATATTTTAACAGTAAACTAAGTTACTTCACACAGACAGCTAGAAGCAACCAACTCAACTTAGTCAGACAGGTTTGAGTATGCAGCAGTCTCTGATAATTGTCAGAATGTCGATTGTTTATGCAGCATCATCAAACTAATTAGTGATGACTTTATCATCTGGTAGTATGTAGAGTAGATAATGGTTTATACGACATATAGGGTCCCATATTACCAGTGATCACTTCCTACTCTTGAAACTTTAAGGGCTGTGACTGAAATTAAATTAGGGAATGTTTTATGCTTATCTACTGACTAACTCAAAAGAATATCACAGAAAAAAGTTGATAACCAAGGTACTCAAGAAAAGAAATTGTTTAAGTGTGTCTAATCATTAACTCGGATTAATAAATTTGGTGACAGACAAATAATACAAGATCAGTTACCAATATGGTACTTAATAATACTTATTCAATTTGATTTATTTCTGAC